TTTAAAAAACGTATTCTAAAAATTTTTGATAAAATGTGCTTAACATAAAATTGGCCATCTTAGCTCTTTCTGAGTGTACAATTTACTGGCAGTATGTTCAGTCTCACAGACACTCCCATCCTAATCCAAAGAACTCTTCATTTCTCAGAAATGAAACTACCCCCATTAAACCTTCACTCCCCACTCCTCCCCTCCCCAGTCCCTGGTTCTACTTTCTGTCAGTGAATTTGACTCTCTAAGCTCCTCATATGTGTTGTATTTTACAGTTCTGTCCTTTCATAACTGGTTTATTTCATCTAACTTTATACCTGCAAGGTTCATTCATATAACATGTCAGAATGATGTGGTCCATTTAAAACACAGCTTTATTGAAATGTCATTTGCAGCCCACACCATTCACTCATTTCCAGTTTGTAATTTGATGGTGGTTGTTATTTTTTTTTTCCATTTTCAGTTATACAACTATTGCTGAAACAATCATAGTTGTAAAAAAAAAATAAATTTAGTAAAGGAGAAATTTAGTCATGAGGGTATTAAGAGCCGCACTGAGAACCCGGGCCCAGGAGACCAACATCAAAGTGAGGATGGTCCCCTCCCTCAAAGCTTGTGACCTCTGTTTCTACAGGTAAGTGGTAGACACAGAATGAAGACATAAGCGATTTTTCTTAACAGAGACAACATCTAACTAATCTCTAACATTGTCAGTTAAATAAAGGAGTTTCATTTCTAACAAGCTCAGTTCCTGAAAAAAGGAGAAAATTGCTTGTAACTGCAAAGTCACCCCTGGCCTCACAGAGCTGGTTCAGTCAGAGCCATCTGTGTTTGGAGGATGTAAGGACCTTAGGACATTGGAATCTGTCATCCTAAAAGTATCCTAGCAAAATGGGGCACAGACAGGCCAGCTCCTTCTTTATTAACTCCAGCTCCTTCCTGCAGCTCACAAACGTGACAGGCGCTCAGCCTCCAGATAATGGATGTTCCTTTTTTTCTCACCCAAGGTGTCTTCACAGTGGACAAGAATCACTGGCCAGCTGACTCTGACCTCTTGAGGCGGTCCTGGCAGGGCAGGCGTAGATGTTTTGCAACAGAGAGAAATGTAGATGATACTTTCCTTGGTCCACACAACCATTACCACAGTCTAGTTTTAGAACATTTTCCCTGTCCCTAAAGGAAACCCCTCAACATCCAACTCTGTGTACCATCCCCCCTTCCCCGCCCCCCCATCTCTAGACAACCACTCTATTTTCTGTCTCTATAGACTGCCTGTTCTGGACACTGCATATAAATTAAATCATGTAACATGTGGCCTTTTGTCACAGGCTTCTTTCACTTAACATGATCTTTTCAAGACTCATTCATGTTATACATGTATCAATATTTTATTCCTTTTAACTCTTGAGTACTGTACCATTATATAAATATATCACACTTAGCACCTTGCTGAAATATAATCCATTCTGATTTTTGTATATAGTGAGAGGTATGAATGGAAACTCTCTTCTTCCCTTTCTCCCTTCCCTCCTGCTTTCCATACTGAGAGCCAATTTTTCCTAATTGATTTTCTGATCTAATTCTATGACCATTGTTGTAAAATTATTCTCCCACCATGGAATGAGCTTTTCATCTTTGTAAAAAAGATCTAATTCGGGATTGTCTAATACCAGTCCACACTGAATAAATTAGAGTAAATTTATAAAATCTTAAAATTGGATAGTATTAGATCCTGCAACTTTGTTCTTCTTTTCAAAGTTGATTTGGTAGTCTAGGTCTTTTCAATTTCTACGAAAAGTCTGTTAGGATTTTGGTTAGGATTGCATTGACTCTTTAGAGCAAATGATAAGGATGAAGCTTAATAACATTAAGCATTTTATTCATGAACATGGTATGCCTTGCATTTATTTTGATATTCCTTGATTTGCTTATAGTTTTGCTTATAGTTTTATAGTTTCAATGTACCAGTCTTCCAAATATTTTGTCAGATTTCTCCCTAAATGCTTTATACATTTGGATATTGTTGTAAATGTATTTTTTTCAGTGTCCTATTGTTCATTGCTAGTGTGGATAAGTATAATTTGATTTCTTATTTTCATCTCATATTCTGCAACCTTGCTAAACTCAGTTATTACCTAAGTTGTTTCTGATTTTGGAGGGCCATCATAAAAAATAACACAGTCGGTATCCTTTCTCATCTTTCTTTGGGAACAATCCAGGTTTGCATCTTGGTTTACAGCCCCAGAAGTGGAATTACTGGGTGGACCAGTCTATTATTGACTCCTAGTATTGAGCATCCTGTGTTTGGTAGAGGGAGGGCGGGGAAAGGGGAGAACTTATTTTCTGCAGACTAGCCCAACCTGAACAGCCAGTGGGAATGCAGGAGAGAAAATGGCAATAGGGCTGTGCAGAGGCCCCAGGACTCCTCCCCCAGAGCCAGCTGTGGCCTCCTAGGCATCCATCTAAGTTTCCCCTGGTTACCTGTAGGTTGGAGGCTGTATCTTCAGTATGTGGACTTTTGGGTTCTTCCTCCTTCGGAGTGAGTGGTATCATTAAGAGGCGTATGCAAAAATTGAAGCAAGAGCTGAAACCAAGCTCTGTGTAGACAAGTGAAGGCAGAGACCAGTCTCGTTGTCTGCCCGACATCTTCTGGTACTCCCAATCTGATGAGATAGAAAGAACCCCTGTCCTACAGGAACCCCTGGGCTTCTGGAGGAAATTATAGGCCCCTGTTCTCTGGGATCCCCAATCTGAGATTCACAAACCCAAACACATATAGATGCTTACAAAGAATGTGTCAGCAAGTGCAATTATACCTTCCTGTATAGGGGTGGATGATGGGATGCAGTGGGTTTCTCTAGGGAGACTTCTTGGGAAGAGAAGGGCCTGGATCCATAGAGAGGAGGTTGGGAGGAAGGCTGATAAAAGGGGGGGTGCCATGTGGAATAGAAACTGACCCACCAGCCTCTCAGAGCTGAGGAGTGGGTGTGTTGGGTTGGAGCCCCTGTGGTGTGATGGTATACCTTCAGGGGCTCCCAGTGCCCCACCTCGCTCTGCTCCTCTTCTGCCCCATCTTCCCATTACCGGTATCCTCAAACAAAAGGTACCTGGCACTGACCCCCATGCCCCAGCCAGAGTCAACAACTGTGCCCCCTCAGGGTATATCTGGCAATGGCTACAGACATTTTTGGTTGTCAAAACTTGGAGGGGTGTAGAGAGAAACACAGGTGGAGGCGGAGGCTACTGTTGGTTCCAAGGTTGCTCAACCCCCTCGCAGGCCCAGACCAGCCCCCACAGAGAGGCATAGAGACACCAAGTAGGGGCTCCAGACCCGGCAGGGTCCCCTTCCACTTGTGAGCTGGGGGCTTCCTGCCAGATGCACGTGCCCAGGCCCCCTGGTCTTAGCGAGGTGTTGGCACCTGGACATTATTTTTTCCTGATGACTGTGGAACTTACTGTTTTTCAAACTGTAAGCAGTTGTTACAGAGGTACTTTTTGCTTTTAAGTAAATTCACACAAAGAGAAAATAGGAGGAAAGATAATAAAAGTTGCGAAGGTATTCAGAGCAGGTTTCCTCTAAGACCGGCCACTTTGGCACGAAGATTATTTTCAGCTGAGGTTAGTTGAAGTTCATGAGACACTTTTACCACCCCTCTAACTACCTAGAAGGAAGAACATAAGAATATTGGAACCTTAACCAGAATTAATGTTAGCACAAGAAATTAAAAAACAAACAAAAAACTAACAACCCAAGACAAACCCTGCCCATGTGGCAGGCAGACATGGAGTTAATCACAGGGCATCTGCTTTTGCCAAGATGTCACCTGCTGAGCCTCATTATCACAGCCCCCCCTTTTCTCCCCTGGAAGCCCCAGGCCCCATCCTAAGCACCATGCTTTAGCCCAGTGTATATATATATTCATTTTGCCTATGTGTCTTTGGAATCCTGTGTCTATGTAGATTTCCTGTAGGTTTGTAACTAAGCTGGTTATTTTCTCCTGCTAGTCTGTCTGATTTTAATTGGATTATTTGGCCAGCCTGAGGAGGCTAGGGGGAAGTTTGCTTCCTCTCCCACACCTAGATCCAGAACCTGAAATCCGCACACCTAGATCCAGAACCTGAAATCCGCAAGTGCCTGGAGTTGCCCACCTGAATGTCAAAACGTTTCTTTTTTCCCTCCACCTTTAAAGAAACCACATAAAAAAATTTTCCCTTCTGTATTGTCACAAAACATACATATATTCTAGCTGTGAATGGCCTGAAGAGAAATAAACTAGACTTGTAGGCAAACCAAAAGGGGGGATTTCTAGACTAAAGAACCCCACCGCCTGATTTTTGGAGCAAATTAATTTTTCATTAAAAAAGATCAACGCCAATGTGTAAAGTTACCCAAACATGGCGTTGAAAAATAATATGTTAAAGCTGTAGAAAAACATCGTATTATTTTAAGAGTCCTGTAAAGACCATAATATAGCACAGATGAATATATTCTGTGGATTTTTCAACCTGAGAAATACGAACAAAATGCACCTGGATGCAGTTTGGTAACAGGTATGTTCAGAGTTCTTTAAGCTCCTTTACACGATGTGCGGGGGCAAGCACAGCTTTGCTCTCCAATCTCTGCAAATTATTTTAAGGCCAGGGGAGTCTGTTCTAGAGCAAACCCACTGAAGTGACTCCAGATGCTCAGCTCTGGTGGTGGGGTGCGGGGTGGGTGTGGGAGTGGCAGCTGCAGTTTGGATTCTTAAACCTTGGTGCCTGTAGGCCGGAGCACCCTGGGGTGGGACTTTACCGGCGGCTGTGGGCAGGCATGCGGTGGCAGTGGGAGGGAGGAGGTGGGGCCTCCTTTTCTAGGGCATGTGTCACCTGCCTCCTGCCCAGGGGCACGGCCCTGGCACTACCCGGCCAGTGTGCAAGAGAGCGTGAAGCTGGGGCCTGCTTCCAGGAGCCCTTGGAGAGGATCTTGGACCTTGCGAGCCTTATGTTGCTGGCCTCCAGAGATCCAGAACATGGCAGATGGGGCTCAGGCCAACCCCAAAGGGTTCAGGAAGAAGGCGCTGGGTAGACACACCTCTGTGTCGAGAGAACCAAACCTCAGGGCCCCTACACCTTTGAGAACGTCCAGGTAGGTGCTATATCCTGGGGTGCACTCCTCCATGGAGAAGAGCAGGGATGAGCGAGGGGAGCTGGCTCCTGGGACCCACTTCTCCCGAAAGGGGAGCTCTGAGTCCCTGAAGGTCTATGTGTCACTGCATCACAGGACTAGGAGAGGCTTAGGGGTCTCTGGTCCGTTCTCATGAGGCACTTGAAGCCCAAAGAGGCTAAGAAATCTATCAGCTTACACAGCCTTTTGGAAGAGAAGCAGAACAAAGACCCAGGGACCCGGGTCTCTGGGCCCCGAGTGCAAGACCCAGACAGCAGCCAAGGTCACGTGACCCGCCAGTGTGAGTGGGGAGGGACTTCCTTCTGGTCTCCACAGCTGATGGGACCGTGAGCTCTGGGTGTCGATGCATGGAGGGTGTTCTTGCTCAGAAGGGGAGGCCCCACTCGTGGGGTCTGCCACGTGGACCTGCCCTCCTGGGGGTCTTCCTGGAGGTGCCAATCACAGCGACGGGGCAGTAGCAACTGGACACCAGGGGACGGCATTGGGGGCTCCTGTGATGGAGCAGCTAGAAGGACCTGCAGGGAGGTGGAGCGACAGACTCAGGCCTCGGGTCTCTCCTCTCAGATCTAGCCTGGGCGTGAAGTTCTTCACTATCGCCATCCTGGCTGGCAGTGGTGAGTAAGGCCCTGGGGCAGCCCCATTCTATCCCCCACCCTGAAGTTCTCCTGAGACCTTGGGGACCAGAGTTCTCCATCCATTGGTCACAAGACCTGGGTCTCCGGGTCTCCACTTCCTGCCCAGCCCGTCTTCCTCTCTCTGGCTGTTTCCTCCTGCAGCCACCTGTAAACACGCGGGGGGAGTGGCGTTTATGAGCGGGCCTGGGGGGCAGGGCCCAGCGCTGAGCACCCCACAAGGCCCGGCCCGCGTTTGTGTATTTAGGAATGCGTTTACACAGGAGTGTGTGTGTACACAAGAGTGTGTGTGTACACAGGAGTGCGTGTGTGTGTTCAGAGAGGTGTGTATTAGGAGTGTGTGTGTAGGGGTGCGTGGCAGGGGTGTCTGCTGGCGAGCCCACAAGAAGACGACGCAGCAGGTCTTGGGGGTTCCGGGCATCAGACTGAGCCCACTTTGGCTCCTGACATGACTCTGGCTACCCCCACCCAGGTGAGCGGGCAGCAGGTGCCCTGGTAGGTGTGACCCACCCCCTGGCATTCTGTCTAGCCTGTTAGCGGGCACCTTAACACAGCCTGGTCGGAGGAAAAGAAATACCAGAAACGACAAAAGGTTAAATGTGGGCAGACGTGGGAAATTGCTGGTGGAATCCGGGCAAACTGACCTGTTATTTAGAAAACAACCAGTTAGCTGGGCCCAGACCACTGGCCGCAGACAGTGCCTCAGGCCTGAACACACACTCGGCTTCTGTCCCGGCTTGAGTGTGGACGTGGCCTTGAGTTTGGTCGTGACGTCGCCCTGTGTGTGCGTGTTTGTGAAGTGTGAGTACGTGTGTGTGAAGTGTGAGCGTGAAGGCGTGTGCACCAGGGTGGGCCGGGGAGTGTGGGTCTGTGTGCGAGTGACAGATGAGTTTGTCGGGCGCTGGTCTGAGTGGGATCGGCCACAGGAGAGTGTGTGAGTCTGAGTGTGTGTGGTGGGCGTGAAGCGTGTAGAAGACGGTGTGAGTGCGCCTGTGTGTGTCATGCGTGAAGTGGGCTGTGAATGTGCGTGAGCGCGTGGTGGTGATTATGCGTGAGTGCATGAGATCTGGAAGTTGGGTGTGCGCTGTGCGTGTGTGAGGTCGGTAAGGGTGAGTGAGTTGTGTACGTGTTTATGGGTGAGTGTGTACAGGTGTGTGCTGCGTGGAGGAAAGTTTGAGGTGTGTGACTGTAAGAGATCGTGCACGTGTGTGCATGAGGGCTGTGTGTGTGTGAAGCGGGGGTGTTTCTACTCTGGCATACGGAGCCGATGGTCAGATGGAAGCTTCGGGGGAGGGGTGGGTTAACACCTGCAGCTAGTGGGTGGGTGCGGGGTGGAGATGGGGAGTCAGCTTCAGGCTGGGGGAGTGAGGAGGCCAGGACCTCAGAGATGACCCCTCCCTGCCATCCCATCGGGGCTCCTCGCCTGTAAATTGGGGGAAATACCCTGGCTTGTTGGCGATAGTGAGCACTCAGCCAGTGAAAAGCCCTCTCCTGCTGCTTTCTCCAGACCTGGGCTAAGGAGGCGTGTGGGTGAGGCCCGTGGGCCTCCCTCTCGCTCCTTGTCTCCCCGCCCAGCCCTGGTGTAGGAGGGCAGCAGCCGGCTGCAGCGGCCCCCCTGGGCCGGGAGCTCACCTTCCCGGGTTCTCCGCAGTCCTGTCTGCGGCCCACAGCAGCCTGCTCAACCTCAAGTCCATGGTGGAAGCCGTGACCGGGAGAAGCGCCATCCTGTCCTACGTGGGCTACGGCTGCTACTGCGGGCTGGGGGGCCACGGCCTGCCCATGGACGAGGTGGACTGGTAGGCGCGGGAGCCAGGGCCCTGGCGGGACAGAGCGGGGCAGTGAAGGTCAGCCGAGCTTGTCCCTGAGTGGGGGAGGGGCCGTGCGTAGTGACCTTTCACGTGACCTAGGTCCTCCCCACTGTCTCGGGTGCTTTCTATTCTACTAGGGTCCATGTCCATGGTCTTGAACGTGGAGACGTTTGACCTCAGGCTCTCAGCAGGAAGGAACACTTCACGTGCACCCCTCAGTCCTTGCCCAGGCCCCACCCTCCCCTGCCCACCTGCCCTCCACCCCTGCCCACCTGCCCTCCACCCCTGCCGTAAAAGTCGCACAGCTGCTCCACAAACCTCCCTCCGACTGGACACCGGAGACTGGACACCGGAGGACGGTGCTTCCTCCAGCAGCTGCAGCGGCACCCGGGGCTTGTCCGCTCCTGTCTCCCCCAAAGCAACCAGCACCCAGTCTGCTGCCACTCGGGAGCAGGAGACGCAATAAAGGCACACTGACGGGTTCCCCTCGCAGGGGATGGGGCAGCCCCCCCACTCGCTTCCTGTCCCCTGGCCCTTGCCCCTGCCCGGCTCAGCCCTCCAGCCCTCAGTTCTCCCTGGTTATAGTGGTTTCTTCTCGCCTGACATGCCCCTACCTGGACCACCTGGCAGGGTCCCCTGGGGAGAAGGACAAAGCAGGTGGGGGGAATAAGAAGCTGGAGCATGGACCTTCTGCTTGTCGGTGTGGCCTCGGCCAGTAGCTGGAGGCCTCCGTCTGACAGTCTGGGCTGTGAGGGAGTCTCAGTGGCTTGGGGGGCCCAGCTGGCCACGCCTGCTCCCCTCTCCCCACCCCTAGGTGCTGCCATGCCCATGACTGCTGCTACCAGAAGCTCTTTGACCAGCGCTGCCACCCCTACGTGGACCACTATGAACACACCATCGAGAACAGCATGATTGTCTGCAGTGAGTCCCCCTCCCCGGCCCCCTGGGGGAGCCAAACCTCCCCCACCCCAGCTGTGCAGGGTCCAGGAGGGCTGTGAGGGGACAGACGGGCTGCCCGGTCAAAGCTGAATTTCAGACAAACAGCAAAATATGCTTTTATAATTATGTCCCAAATACTGCAGGAGAGATACTTACGCTATAACGAATTAGTCCAAATTAATTAGTATTTGCATACAATTAAAAATTAGCATAAGGAGGGGATGTGATACACGGGCGATAGGAAAACATTTGTTGGTCTCAAATGCAGATTATCCAGATCTCTTGTTTTTGATTCTTGGTGCAGTCGAGCAGCCTGGCAGAGGCTCTGCCCACGCCTCCTGGTCTGCCCACACCTCCCAGGTCTGAACCTGCACCTGGTCCTGTAGCCCTGCTGCCCTAAGCTTAAGGAGTGCTGGCGAGTCAGTGGCGCCGGTGGGCCGGATGCGTAGCTCTGAGACTGGACGGGCCAGGGGCTGCCATGGCGCCTCCCTGGGCGGGCCCTTCTCCCTCTGTGGATCACAGTTTTCTCTAGTTCTCTCACTAGAAGGTAGACCCCTGTGTTCCAGGAATGCAAGCTAAAGGCACCAGACCCGGTGGGGTCCCCCCACCCCGTTAGCATTCTTAAGCAGGCTCTGCGCACATCCCCTCACTAATAGCTCAGGAGCAGCCCAGCCAGGCAAGGAGCTCACGGGTGTTCTCTGGGAAGAAGCCTGGGGCGCTGAACAAGTCTTAAGACTCTGCTGTCTCTGTATTCTGCTGTTCAAACTGCCCGGGGCTGCCTGAGCTGCAGGGTTTGAGGGCTTGGGGGGTGGGAGGATGTCCTGTCAGTTCACCGGCAATGGACCAGCCCAAGCAGAGGTTTCCTGGGGATTCCTGGGGGTACCATGTCAGTTACTGGAGAAGTAAGGAGCATGTGGGGGTGCTTAGTGGGTCCGCAGGCCCTTGTATAGTTATGTGGCTTTTCTTCCAGCTTTTGGTCTCTTGACCTTCTGCAGTTTCTCTTTTGTCTTTTTCTTTTAAAGATTTATTTTATTTATTTATGTATACAAGAATGGGGTGTAGGCCAGAGGTGTGGGGGGCTGGGGGGGTGGATTCACCAGACACAGAGTGGGGAGCAGAACAAGTGGATTGGTTGAAACACACTGCTGAGGGGAGCAGCGGGCATGACAGGGCTGCACCATGTGGGTCACCCCCTGGGCGGGGATCGAACTTGCACCACAGCGGCTGGAGACAGCACTGAGACTTTAACCCCTGTGCCACCAGGGAAGCCTGAGAGTTTCTCTTAAGAGAAAAGGCTGTGCTCCTGGAAAGCTGGAGAGGTGTGGACAGCAGCGGGCAAGTGGGCAGCTGGTCCTCCCGGGTGCTGCCTGGCCTGCAGCCTCAGTGTGCCGGGGACTTGCTAGGAATGCACATTCTCAGGCCCCGCCCAGACTGGGCTTGAGCCTGGCCGTATGCTCGACCTGGTTCTGTCGCACACCTACGGCTGAGAGCCGTGTGAGAAAACAACAGAGCAGCGGCAGTGACACTAATGCTTCACCACACGCTAGCGTGGCTTTGTGCGTGTCCTCTCTGGACCTGCCCACCCAGGTGGTGTCCTGGGTGACCCAAGACCCTATCCCAGTTCTGCCTTTGGTACTTGGGTGACTTAGGCAAACCTATGACTCCCTGCCGGGCCTCGGTTTCCCCAGCTCCTCAGTAACAGGTGGGACCTCTGTGGCTCTCGGCTATTCACATGCACCAGAGCTTCTGGGGCCGAGAGCTGCTGAGCCTGCCAGCCTGGGTGGGGTGAGGGGACCCCACTCGAAAGCCCCCACTCCGAGAACCCTCAGAGTCGGACACTCCCTCCCCACAGGCAGGATCAACGTGACCGAGTGCGACCAGCAGACCTGCGAGTGTGACAAGAGCCTGGTCTTGTGCCTGCAGAACCAGACGTACAACGAGGAGCATCGCAACTACCTCAACATCTACTGCCGGGGCCCCACGCCCAACTGCAGCATCTACGAGCCGCCCCCCGAGGAAGTGGCCTGCCCACCCATCTCCCTAGCGTCTCCGGTGCCCCCTTAGTGCTGAGGGGCCTGACAGAGAAGAGGGGAGGAGCTTCCGGCTCCAGAGACCAGGGCAGGTGGAGGTGGGGGCCCGGCTGCCCACTGCCCCTTCCTGGAGCCCCCCAGGGAGACTGGCCCCAGGGGACTCAGGAAGACTGGGCCTCGCGTGGTGGGGGGTGGGGGTGAGGGGGGCTCTCCAGAGTGTGGAAGGTGAAGCCCGAGGGGGGTGGGAGTGCCTCTGACAGGCCGGGGTGGGGGTGCTCTGCTATGGTCCCAGCTTGGTTTAGTCTCACCCTGGGGCTGGGCCCCGAGGGCTTGGAGACCAGGCCCTGAGGGGCCAACACAGTCCCCTCACAGGTTGTGTGTCCTAGGACCAAGGTCCCGGAAGACAGAGTACTGGTCACTTGGCCGGGCCTGGGGACCCCTTGGCTGCAGTGGGGTGCCTCAGGGGCCTTGGGGCCACTCTGGAGCCCTGTTAAGGAGCAGGTGGCCTGGGAGTCAGGTCCAGATCCTATAGGCTAGTCACGGTGCTGGCTTCCCAGCCGGAAATCCAGCCCCAGTTCCCAAAGTGCCTCAGACAGGCTCTTGGGCACTGACAGAGCCCACAGGCCCAAGGACATGCCCCGGGGACTAAGATGAGGGCACAGTCAAAGAGGACCCCAGCACTCACAGCCCCCCACCCTCCCCAAAGCCCTGGCCTCTACACTCTGGTTACCACCACACTAAGAGCAACCCCTGACTCCAGGCCCCCCTGAGCCTGCTGTCCCAGGCAAGGGCCGGTCAGTGCTCCTGCAGGCCCCTCATCCCCCTCCACCCCACAGCAGCCAGGAGGGAGGAAGGATGAGGACATCTCTCTCCTTGGACAGGCAGAGTCAGGGCTGCAGGGGGCCACAAACTCTCAATAGGAGGCAGCCAGGGCAGGGCTGTCCCCAGGGAAGGGGGAAACAAAGGCAGAGGCTACTGGAAGCTTCCAGAAGGCAGGAGGGAGGGAGCAGCAAGGTGAAATGAGAAGGGAGGGGCAGTGTGAGACTGCTGGGGCGAGGTGGAGGCCAGACTCGCCGGCCAGGCATGTCAACAGGAGAAGGGGGTCACCATGCTGGCTAGGGGTGCCTTGGGATGTGGGTCCCTCGGTTTCGGTGGGGGTGCCTTGGGATGTGGGGTCCCTCGGGTTCGGTGGGGGTGCCTTGGGATGTGGGGTCCCTCGGGTTCCGGCTGGGCTCTGGGACATGGCAGAGAGGAAGAGCACTGGCCTTCAGGCTGTGCCCAGCGTGGCCTCTCACTAGTGAGTCTGACTCCTGCCCTTCCTTGCCCTGGCTTCCGGCCTCAAGGCAGTGGTCTGCTGTGGTCTGCTGTGGTCTGCTGCCCCCAATTTGCCAGTGTGCCGGGCCTCAGCCCTGCTTCTTTATAATGTCAGCTCCTCAGGCCCTTGGGGTACAGAGCTGTGTCCCCCTGGAGACAGCCACCACCAAGTCTCCAGGAAGCCCTGCCCACCATGGCAGGGTCCCCGAGGACCTGGGGAGAGGCAGCAGAGAGGAGTGGGAGCAGAAGGCTTGGGGGTGGGGAGAACACCTCCAGAGGTGTCGGAGCCAAGATGCGGCTTCTGGAACACAGCCTCAAGAACCGGGGATGTGCTGTCACGGCGTGTGCAGGGGTTCACCGCCCTGCCGGCCTGGCCGAGTGTGGACTGTGGGCCCTGGGCCCAGACCTGGCCTGCCCATCCTCTTCCGAGCCCAGCAAACAGGCTGCCTTCTCCTGGATGCTGGGGGCTGAGCTTATCAGGTCCCATCAGAAGCCCACCAAGCCAGGTGGAGCCCCCTAGAGGCCTGGGTCCTGTGCCCCCAGGAGCACGGGCTTCCCACCAGGTCCCTCAAGGGCACACACCCTCCCTCCCCAGAGTCTGGTCAGTGTGTTGGGAGGAGGCTCTGGTATTGCCTGCCCCCTGCTGACCCTGGATTCTCCCTGTGCTGCAACCCCCAGGGACTCTGCACAGGCTCAGCCCACCCAGCCCAATAACAAAGGCCTCTGCCTCCACTCCACCGGGGGTCCTCCCCGGGCTGAAAGAAGCTGGGGAAGGACTCAGTGGCTCCTTCCTGGGTCTCCCTGGCACCACGCAGCTGGCACAACCTCCCCCACCCCACCTGCCTCCTGCCTACCCCCAGCCTGCCCCCACCTGGAGGGAGTGGCCCTGTGCCAGCCCAGAGTCAACCTTGGGAGGGCAGGAAAGCGGTGCTGAGGCCGGGCACCATGGTCCTGAGGCGGGACCATGTCATGGGCTCCAGCTCCATAGGGCACCCCTCCACCCCACTTGTTTCAGGGGGACCCAGAGACGGGTCGTAACTTACTCATAGTTGCACAGGTCCTAAGTGATGGGGTTGGGAGCTGACTCTCGCATCAGAGACTCACCCCACCTTCTTAGCGCTGGCTAGGGGTGTGGGGTGAGGCTGAGACCCCAGCAGGAGTGGGTCCCGGGGCCTCCACTCCTTCTCTGACCCAGATCCCTTTTCTGCTTGGCATGAGTGACCGGTGCAGGTGTTTCAGATGCTCCCCGGAGCCACGGGCTTTCCTGGGGACACTTAGGGGTCATCTCTGGGGGCAGGAAGGCTGAGCAGATGAAACCTGCACCCTCACTCAGTCAGGCGCCCTGCTTCTCCGTTGTTCTATGTTGAGATTTTGCACGAGCTACCCTAAGAAGAAAAGAGATTCTTCAGCTAAAATGTTTTCAGAGTTTGCTCCCCACTGCTAAGGCCATCTGCGGTGGTGTGTTCATTCCGTGGGCCACAGTCTCCCCGGGACAGGGCGTGATGCTAGGATTGGGGATGCGGTCACTGACCAGACAGGGCCTTTGCCCGCAGGAAGCTCACAGCCTGGGGGTGGTGAAGGCGGACCCGGAGCTATGGGGCATTATAATGAGCATGAAAGATGAGGCCCCAAATGTGTCCACAGCAGTCCCGGAAGGGGCCCCAATTGGGGGGGGCAAAGGGGTGGAGCTGGCAAAGAGGACTGAGGGCTGGGGAAGTGGGGGGTGTAGGGGGGTGCAGGAGAGGGGGGAGGTGGGAGGGGGGATAGTGCAAGCAGGGGAGCAGAGGAGTCAGGGAGGGGAGGAGGGGGGGTCAGAATTTTTGAGTAAGGGGATACCTGCCCCTACATTCTTGTGTGTGTGGGTGGGGGGGATGGGGTGTCTCTGGTCTCTCCTTGCTCAGGACTCCAAGTCAGTGAAGACTTTGATGCTAAGGCTTGAGGAAGGGGCTGTACCTGCTGCCTTTGACAGACTCTCTCCTTGACCAAAGTGCAGTCAGGCGCCTCTGAGGCTGTTTCTTATTTAGGGCCCAGCCTGAGTTCCACAGTCCTCTTTGCATTGTTCATTTTTAGCAAGAATTCTACTATTAGTTTCCAGAGAATCCCCACCCACCATCTGTGCTCAGCTTCCTCACGCCCACCGTTCAGGTGACATCCGACCACCTGACCTGCCTTCAGCAAGAATCCTGTTAGGTCAGCTGAGAAAGAACACGCCCTCCCCTCAGCCATTTTCCACCCACCGACAGCCCCAGCTTAGAAAAGTGAGGGTTTGGGATTGTTTTGGGAACTGAGCCCAGCTTTCTCCCGGCCCCTACTGCAATAGTAGCAAATAAAATCTGTTGTGACCACATAAACAACTGTCTGTTCTGGTGTCTAACCGTTGGGGTGCCGTCACTTGAGCTGACCGGCTTTCTTGTGGAGCCTGCCCCCTCCAGCAGGCCAAGTTCTCACCCAGCAGGCCGCTCCAACCCGCTGCACCACCAGGAAGTGCAGGGAGGCCCCTGACCCTGCACGCAACTGCTGGAGCTAGAAAGGGAACAGGCCGCCTGGAAGTAGACTAGCCTCTCTAGTTCCTTGCCTGAAGTGAAGTTCTCAGCCTCCTAAGTAGGTGTCAGCACATATGGGGTTCTTAAAAATCTCCATGAGGGCCCTCCCTGGTGGCGCTGTGGGTTAAAGCACTGTACTAAGAATAAAAAGCCACTTCCGCATGAGTTCGATCCCCGCCTGCCCCGGAGGTGACCACATGGCGCTGCAGACATCTCCTGACCCGCCCGCTGCTCCCCTCAGCAGTGTACTTCGTCGATCTTTCTGTTCTGCTCCCCACTCTGTCCCTGGTGAAGCCTCTCACCCTCTGCATCTCTGGCCTGTACCCCAGTTCTGTATGCATAAATAAATAAATCTTAAAAAAACTCCATGAATGTTGATTAATAAGAAGCATATTGAATAAGAACCTCGATCTTACCCATCTGCCAGAAACACAATTCAGATATAAAGTATACAGTGGGGCAGGGTGAGATTTAACTATTTTAACTTTTCACAGGTCAGACAGTTTGTATCACTGACCCATGACTAAAATTTTGGGATACAACCACAACCGCTATTTGTACCTGTCAATGCATTCAGTTTTATGTGTTATAGTATGTATACTCAACATGTGTCTACTTCCAGATGGTATTGCTAAATTCCATTATGAAATCCCTTAAGGGACTTCCGTTTAAATCTCTTAGAGATAAATATATATGTTTATTTATGAATCATATAAGTATTCCTAAAACGCCCACAAATACAGAAACTGACTTGAACATATTTCAAGTTCCTGTGATTTGAGTAGAGCTTTGATCAGTAAGACTAATGTCATATCCTTGGCTTAATAAAAATAGCCATGTTTTCTGAATTGTCAACATGAACGTATAATAAGACTTTTATTCTACTTGGATTTACTAACTAAATTAGATAATGTCATATTTGCTAGATGTTTAAGATTATAAAAATTACAAACTCAACCTAAGAACAAATGTACAAGATGCAGTACAAGTAAATGTACAAGATTGTTTTAAACTCGTTCTCTTTTGTACACAGCAGAAAAACAGAAAATGTATTTAATTAACATTTTTAGGTTTTTGTTTTTTTGTTACTTGCCTAATATGCATGGATCATAAAAATAAATATTTAAGACGACAGCTAGCTTGGTTTCATGTTATGTCTACCTAAAACAGTTTCCAA